GAGTTCAGCCCAGTGCCCGCAGCCACACTAGGGGTACGGAGAGTGGCCACCGAGGTCCCAGAAGGCCGCCAACATTTCCATGCCCACAAGTCCTGTATCTACAGACAGCAACGTGAGTGCTGCTGTGATACAGAAAGCCAGACCAGCCGAGAAACAAAAACACCAGCCGGGACATCTGCCAGAGAGACCTACCCAGGTCATCTTCAACCTCCTCTTCTGCCACCACCTGCTATTAAATCACCCAGTGTCCAATCCAAAGCACAGCTGGAGGTATGACCTGTAGAGGTGCCCAAACACCCTTCAATAGAACAGACAGGTCATCATATAGAAAAGGAGGCAGTTACAAAGGCAGAGAAGTATCACATGGAAGACAAGTTGCTGACATGCAAATAAATCCAGGTGACCTCAGAGAAGCACAGGAGCAACAAAATTATTAGGAAAAGACACCAAAACAAGGCAGTCAAACGACACCTTCCACCAGCAAAGACGCATCTCATACAAGAGGATATTCTACCTTACTGCAGACCTACTTTCCAGCATCCAATAATCCCAGAGATCCCAGTTCCTCAAGCTCAGTGTCATCAAGAAGATCAGGAAGCAGACCAAGGGAACAAGCAAATGTAGGTTGAAGAAATATCACAGAAATGCAGGTACTTGGAGGATATGAAAGAGGAGAAGATAATAATGAAGAATTAGAGGAAGCAGAAAGCTAAAGGCAAGCAGAGAGGCTCTCGAGATCTAATGTGAAAAGGGCCACTCAAGCAGCCTCATGTCTGATGACACATGACGTCAGATAAGATGTTCAGCGCAGTCAGAATGTACAAGTTATCGTTTCTATTCTTCTTATTGGGATACCATTTTTAAAATTTTTATTAAGCTTTTATTGTTTGATCCTTAACCCTAGGAAGCACTTCTCTCTTCCCCTTGCTTTTGGAACTTTTTCACTTCCAGTAAAGGAAGTGTATTGACGTCTCGCTTTAGTCGTCAGCCAGCAAGAAAGAACAGGACAGTTCTTTTGCATTTTGCCCCTGAGATATGGCACTGCACTGCTCACGCACAAAGCCAATTTACAGCAAAATATTGATCAAATATACAAAGTTGATCAATCAACCTCAGGCCAAGGGCTCTCAAAGTATAATCTTTCTATAACCAACTACTAATTCAAATGTAAGCATAGTTTATTTTAATATGATTTTAAAATGAGTCATTTCATACCACCCATTGCTGGGAGAATCCAAAAAAAAAAACATAGCAAACACAGAACTACAAGCCATTTGAATGGGGTAGAGACACTGTAAATATATGCTCTTTGCAACCTCTGGTGGTACTTTATTTTGTCTTCATTTCAGTCATTGAAGTATATTCTTACTGGAAATGTACTTTTGAATAAGTAGGGCTCAGCCAGTTGGACTTCCAGTTGTCTAGTCATTGTCACAGTAAGCTAGCAAAAACTTTGTTCTATTTTTCAATCAAAAAGCAATTATACATGCACATTGCAATCAAATAGATGTTTTTAATGACCAGTTGAGTAAGGACATCCCTATTTTAACTGGCCTAAATTTCTTCTGGTAGTGTCAGTTCAACTTTCAGAAGTGCCACTTAAGGAAGTTTGTTTGTTTTTTGTTTTTGTAATGCACTGGTTTTAATCTTTTTGTTTTGTTTTGTTTTAAAGGCACAGTCACTAAACTTTATTTGTAAACCATTGTAACTATTAACCTTTTTTGTCTTTTTTTTTTTTTTTTTTTTTTTTTTGGTTTTTCTCCGGTACCGGGAACCGAATTCACAACCTTGCGCTTGCCAGTCAGGCGCTTTTGCCGCTGAGCTAAATCCCCAGCCCCACCTTTTTTGTCTTATTGAAAAAGTGTTGCTAAGCATTTTTGATCTGTTTTGTTAATGCTCTGTGTTTGTATTTGGAATATTTGAATGATAACAGATGGTGAAGTAATGTGAGTACTGTATTTTTTTTTGTTTGTTTGTTTGTTTGTTTGTTTTTCTCCGGTACCAGGAACCAAACTCACGACCTTGCGCTTGCCAGGCAGGCGCTTTGCCGCTGAGCTAAATCCCCAGCCCCGTGAGTACTGTATTGTGGGCTATGACAAGATGGCTTATAACTTTCCTAGACTTAAAGAAAAAAATGGTTTAAGTTTGTTGTAGTCAATCTTGAAATCTATAAGATATCCTTATAAACTGAAATAAAGGCATTACTTGAACTGAATTGCCAAATGATGCCTGCTGATTGTAGATTTTTATGATCTTTTTTGTCATTGTATAAATTTAATTGACTTTATAATTGGTGCTATTTGAAGAAAAAATGTACATTCAATGATATACAGGTATTAGATCTGACCCCACTGCAAAACAAAGCCAAACAAAACTGAATTACAGAAGAGCCTCTGTTTGCCAAAAACTAAATGTGTTCATTTAGATAATTTGAAAGAATTCCATAGCAAGAGTGTGCAGAACTAAGGGAACAAGCCATGTGATTAATGTTTTCATTATGTTCATGTAAGAAGCCTCTTATTTTTAGGCATAATTTTGCATACTGAAAAATCCAATAATCAGAAAAGTAATTTTGTCACATTATTTATTAAAAATGTTCTCAGATACATAAAAAGTCCCAATTTTACAAAACACAGCATAAAATGTGATATTTTAGGGATAGATGCTAAGTTACTCATACTCCAGCAAGGTGGATTGTATGATTTTGAGATTTTTCTTGTGTGCTTCTGGAAAGAGATAAAGAAAAGGAAACAAAAAACAAAGCACAAAAGATAGGAGCCTATTTAGGTCTCTAAGTTCAGGCCATGTGAGCCGCCTGCCTCCAACCAGCTTCTCACCCCCTCACACCCCACCCCCTGCTGTGCAGCAGCAGCAGCGTGCACGGGGCTAGGCCACATGTGCCTCCTTCTCAGTGTAAGTCCATAGACTTTACAGGGTCTCACAAACAGCATCAGCTAGCACCTGAATGACCACTTAAATCTGTACATCTTAGTACATATCCCCTGCCACGCAAAAAAGGGAGCTGTGGCATCAGGCAGACTAAGCTGATGATCTTTGGGAGAGGAGAGGAGAGAGAGAGAGAGAGAGAGAGAGAGAGAGAGAGAGATCAAAAGAGCAGTTTAGAAGACACCCCTCAAGCTAAAGTGTTTAGACGACATCAGGCGCATTCAGGGTGGTATGGCCGTAAACAAGCTAAAGTGTTTAGGATACATATGTGTGTATGGTTTTGAAAACGGATTCCTCTAGCATGACCCAGAGACCAGTTTTAGCCAGTGTGTCACAGGATTAGTTTCTCATGTTGGTAAGATGAGAAACTTTGATCAAGACCCTGGGCTTCATCCTTATTTGTGTCTTTCTGGATGAGCAAGCTTTTCAAACTCTCATCTAACCCAGTGGGGTGTGGTGCTAACCTAAAAGGAGTATCTAGTGAGACCACTATACATCTTGGAGAGTTCCTCCAGGCACCTCTTCCCAGTACTGGTTAGAGGGAGCAAGTGTCTTTTGTCCTCGTTGCTTTTATGTACAAGTACTCGTTTTCTAGGGGCTTAGGAGTCTCTAACTGCTAGAAAAGAAAAAGACCCTAAAGCCGCGAAAGTTTGGAGGGAGAAGATACACTATGCTTGAGAGTGCAAAGGGTTGAAAGGTGTGGGGAAGAAGAAAAAAATAATGAGAAGACTTTAGGCTGGACTCACCAAAATCACCCTCTCAATGTCTCTTTTTACCTCCAGGCTGGCTCACGAAGGGAAAATGTCACTGGGCTGGGTCTGAGAATTCCCCAAACTTATCCCACTCTGCTGTAGCAGGCTCTCTGACTCCCATCACAGAAGAAAATTTTCAGGATGCACCAGAGAGAGGAAGGAGTAAGGTTTATTAGGCAAAGACAGAGCACAGTACACGCTCAAGAGGGGAGTGTGGGCGCTCAGGGAAATGAGATGCACTACAGTTTGGAAATGAATATATTTATACTTTCCTTTAGGGTGTGAACAGCTAGCGGGGAAAGTGCTGGCCCATTCCTCTCTTCTTCAAAAGTCTTTTTTTTTTCCTCGATAGATGATTTAAACGTTCTCCGGATTCACTCAACCTTTTGTTTACTCTCTTCATTGGACCAATTTATGGCCTCCTAGTGGTGGATCTGGTAGGGAAGGGGCGTATATGTGGCCAAGGATTGTTGACACTAGGGCTACCCTCCGCTCAGGGCAAGGTTCCTACACCTTTCTTCTTAACTGAAGCAATTTATGGCCTTGTGTACCTTCAGCTATGTCCTGGAAGTTGCAGTCTTCTTACATAGCACAATTTTGAGCTCTAATTTCCTTGTCTCCTTTCTAGCTATCTTCTATTTCTTCTCTCTTGCTTCAGAATTATAGCAGGCTTAGGTAAAAGAAGCCACCAAGGGTCAAAAAGCCTGCGCACCTTTTCAGCGCAGCTGTGGTTCCAAGAGGGTGAGACCCACCTTTGCTGCCTTTGTTCTCTCTTGCCTCATCCCAGGGCCCAGGAAAGGGATATTAAAGTACAGAAGAGTGTGGAGAAACCAAAGCTTTAGCTTTCTAGACAGAAAAAAAAAATTTGAGAGTATTAAGGAACTAGAATATAATAAGATTACTGTGAGGGAGGAATTAGGAAAAATAAACCCCATAAATGTATTTCGAACTACCCTGGGATCACGTGCAAACTGCCCGTGTTTGGATATGGTCCTGTTCAGCATATCAAAGACTTCAGGAGATGCACTAAAACAAAAAGACCACTCAGGCTCAGACATGGCATCAGCTGTTACATAAGGAGGATAGAACCAAAAATAATGGCAACACTGAGAAGCAAAGAGATAGGAAAGCCAGAAGAAAGAGAAAGCGTAACCTGTTTGGTTGCCTTTTAAAACAAAAATGACGGGCTGGGGATTTAGCTCAGCGGCAAAAAGCGCCTGCCTGGCAAGCGCAAGGTCGTGAGTTCGGTTCCTGGTACCGGAGAAAAACCAAAAAAAAAAAAAAAAAAAAAAAAATGACAACATTGTATAGTATTTTAACAGGACTCAAAATCTTGCAACATTCTATTCACCCAATATTTATTTGTTTTATTTGTTTTAATTTATTTTTGGTACTGGAAATAGAACTCAGAACTTTGCACTTGCCATACAGACACTTTTGCCACTAAACTATATCCCCAGCAAAGACCTGTCAAGAGACCTGCAGCACTTATTTTTTTTGTATCAGGAATCGAACTCAGGACCTTGACCTTGCCAGACAGGTGCATGTGCTGCTGAGCTATATCCCAGCCCAATTTTCTATTCAGAAAGTCCTCAGAATAATCTAAATTTGCAGTCAGGAAGACCTAGATCTGTATGGTAAGAACAAATAGGAGACAACATTGCCAAGATGTTATCGATGTTGTTCCTATTTGATGACTTTAAGGCAGCAGTTCTATAACAAAAGCACAAATAGTCAATAACATTACTGAAGCAAGTGTAAAAGGAGAAAGTTTCTCCAGAAATAAAATATGCTAAAGACAAGACAGTAACACACTTAAGAGTACTAGGAGGAAAATACAGTACAATAAGAATCCTGTGTCCCAGGGCTAGGAAATAACGCAGTGCTTAAAGTGTTTGCCTAATATGTTCAATGCCTTGTGTGTATTTATTGTATTAAATCTTTGGCACCACAGAAAGAAAAGATATTCTGAGTTCACTTTCTAGTAAATACTTTATTTTACTTAATTATGGCCTCAAAGCTAGAATTCATATATGCAAAAGAGCTTCCTTTAAATAAAAAAGATAATTTTCTTCCTATGTATGCACAGGAAAGAACACAGTACATAGGACTTGGTAGTATCCACGGTGTCAGACACAGCAGGGAACTGAGATGCCTGGTGATGAGTGAGACTACTATATTCTGAGATGGTGCTTCAGGGAAGTAGTTTTAGATGAGGCCAGGAGGGTTAAGTACTTACTATAGGCCTAGTGTTCTTGTAAAAAGACATCAGAGATCCCCTACCCCCATCTCTCCAGTGCAGAAGTTTTTCAAAATTTGAACCAAAAATGTTCCTCTATAGTTTATGAAATTTTAAGATATGTCTGTTATTTGCCAACAAAAGTATCCTACATGACAGAGATCGTTTCCTTTTAAATTCTTCTCTTTGTAGAAAAAAAAATATGAACCACCAATGGGTTATCTTACCTATGTACCTCTGGTGAAGTTCAAAAAACAACTATGCTTAGGCTTTTCAGGACAACCTAGGTTAAAAGAAAAAGATTGAGAAATAGATTTGTTCATCTATTCCCTCCCCTGGCTCCTCCCTCAGCTTTCCTTTCTTAGATAAAATAGGTCCTGGATACCTTTATATATAGACTCTTCCAGTAGTGTTGTTCCAAGGTGTCCACTTCCTGAAAACTGGAAACCTCTGATTGTCTCTCCAGTATGAATCTCACTGCTGCAAGTCACCGCATACCTCTAAATGATGGAAACAGCATTCCTGTCATTGGACTGGGTACTTACTCCGATCCTTATACAGTAAGCTTTCTGTTTCCTTTGCGCATGTGTTTATGGTTTTTAGAATATTTTCCTAAAACATAAACTTTCATTTTGAGTGTATTTCGTTGATTACTTTTTAAAGCTGTTTAAAGCAGCTCTCAAGGACTACTGTTTGCCTGGTTGAGTATCACATCAAAGGTTAAACTACAGTGAGCTCATGGTTAAAAATTAGCATAAGATAAACGATGTGATTTCTTTACTGAACTTGAGCTGAAATCTAATTCCTACTATTTATGGTTTCTGGAGTTCTCTAAAAGTTTATACTTAAGAATTTTTAGTTCAGTCTAACAAGCATTTAGTGAACACCTGCCATGCACTGAATGCTAATTTGTAGAGTATTTCTTTATTAAGAGGACGTGTCTCTTCTAACTAACCATTAAAAACTCTATGGAAGATGTAGACTCTTTAACATCTATACAACAATAAAGATTAAGCCTCTGCAATCCTAGAACTGTAACTAATATCCCTCTGAACCATACACACACACAAACACACACAAAGAGAAGAACTAAACTTGATCATGAAGATTGAAATGGCTTTCCTTTAAAACATGGCAAATCTTTTACTTAAAACAATTCTTTTTTCATGACATTTCATCATTTAAGGCTGGTTATCAGAATAAATGATGGTATGATGTATTAGTCAGCTTTCTATAGCCATATTGAAATACCTGTGTTATGGTTGATACATTGTGCCAACTTGGGGATTCTAGAGGTTTGGCTAAGTGACTCAGCAGGAAGCCAGGGTGCTTACTTTGTATACATCCTGACCTGTGGAAGAGGAAGGCATGGAAATTATGTGAGAGCTACATGCCCCTTAGGTGGGGGTAGCCTGTTTCACAATGTAAGGCAGGGAAAGAGGCTGCTTGCCGCCATTCCTCCCGTTTGCTCTGACCATCAGAAACAATTTGCTTTCAGCTGGCAAGGCCAGCAGTATACCTTCACTGTCTTACCTCAGGGGTATATTAACTCACCAGCCCTGTGTCACAACTTAGTTCGTAGGGATCTTGATCATTTTTCTCTCCCACGAGATATCACATTGGTCCATTACGTTGATGATGTTATGCTGATTGAGCCTAGTGAGCAGGAAGTAGCAGCTACTCTGGATTTGTTAGTACAGCATTTGAGAGCCAGGGGATGGGAAATAAATCCAACAAAAATTCAAGGTCCTTCTACTTTGGTGAAGTTTCTAGGAGTCCAGTGGTGTGGAGCATATAGAGATATTCCTTCTAAGGTAAAAGATAAGTTGTTGCATCTGGCTTCCCCTACAACCAAAAAAGAGGCACAGCACCTAGTGGGGCTTTTTGGGTTTTGGAGGCAACACATTCCTCACTTGGGTGTCTTACTCCGGCCCATTTACCAAGTGACTCGGAAAGCTGCTAGTGTTGAGTGGGGCCCAGACCAAGAACAGGCTCTGCAGCAGGTCCAGGCTGCTGGGCAGGCTGCTCTGCCCCTGGGGCCATATGATCCAGCAGATCCCATGGTACTTGAAGTGTCAGTGGCAGGAAGAGATGCTGTTTGGAGTCTCTGGCAGGTCCCCATAGGTGAACTGCAGCGGAGGCCTTTAGGATTTTGGAGCAAGGCTCTGCCATCATCTGCAGACAACTACTCTCCCTTTGAAAAACAGCTCTGGCCTGCTACTGGGCCTTAGTGGAAACTGAACACTTGACTATGGGACACCAGGTCACCACAAGACCTGAGTTGCCTATTATGACCTGGGTATTATCTGATCCACCGAGTCATAAGGTTGGACGTGCACAGCAACAGTCTATCATTAAATGGAAGTGGTATATTCGTGATATATATATACCGAGCCAGGGCAGGTCCAGAGGCTACCAGTAAATTACATGAGGAAGTTGCCCGGATGCCTACAGCTCCTACGCCTACTGTACTGCCTTCTGTTTCCCAGCATGCACCTATGGCCTTGTGGGGTGTGCCATATGATCAGCTGTCAGAGGACGAGAAGACTAGGGCCTGGTTTACGGATGGCTCTGCACGCTATACAGGCACCATCCACAAGTGGACAGCTGCAGCATTGCAGCCCCTTTCTGGGACATCCTTGAAGGACAGTGGTGAAGGGAAATCATCACAGTGGGCAGAACTTCAGGCAGTGCACTTCATAGTACATTTTGCCTGGCAAGAGAAATGGCCAGATGTGCGACTATATACTGATTCATGGGCCATAGAGAATGGTCTCGCTGGATGGTCAGGCACATGGAAAGAACATAACTGGAAAATTGGTGACAAAGATATTTGGGGAAGAGGTATGCGGGTTGACCTCTCCATGTGGGCAGAGGATGTAAAAACATTTGTTTCCCATGTAAATGCTCACGAAAAGGTGACATCAGCAGAAGGAGACTTCAATAATCGAGTAGATAAGATAACCTGGTCTGTGGATAGCGGCCAACCTCCTTCTTCAGCTGCCCCTGTCATTGCCCGATGGGCTCATGAACAGAATGGCCATGGTGGCAGGGATGGAGGTTATGCATGGGCTCAGCAACATGGCCTCCCACTCACCAAGGCTGATCTGGCTACAGCCACTGCTGAATGCCCGACATGCCAGCAGCAGAGGCCAACACTGAGTCCCCGGTATGGCACCATTCCCCGTGGTGATCAACCTGCAACCTGGTGGCAAGTTGATTATATTGGACCACTTCCATCATGGAAGGGACTGCGTTTTGTCCTCACTGGCATAGACACATATTCTGGATATGGATTTGCCTTTGCTGCACTTACTGCTTCTGCCAAAACTACCATCCGTGGACTTACAGAATGCCTTATCCACCGTCATGGAATTCCACATAGCATTGCCTCTGACCAAGGAAAACATTTTGTAGCCAAAGAAGTAAAACAATGGGCTCATGCTCATGGTATTCACTGGTCTTATCATGTTCCTTACCACCCAGAAGCGGCTGGATTGATAGAAAGGTGGAATGGTCTTTTGAAGACACAGTTAAGGTGCCAACTAGGAGGCAGTAGCTTGCAGGGCTGGGGTAAGGTACTTCAAAAGGCTGTGTATGCTTTGAATCAGTGCCCACTATATGGCACTGTGTCTCCCATAGCCAGGATTCATGGGTCCAGGAATCAAGGGGTGGAAGTAGGGATGGTACCACTCACCATTACTCCTAGTGACCCATTAGCAAAATTTCTGCTTCCTGTCCCCACAGCCTTATGTTCTGCTGGCTTAGATGTCTTAGTTCCAGAGGGGGGAAGGCTTGCATCAGGAAGCACAACAATGATACCATTGAACTGGAAGTTAAGATTTCCCCCTGGTCATTTTGGTCTCCTCATGCCTCTGAGGAAACAAGCTGAAAAGGGAGTCACAGTGTTGTCAGGGGTAATTGACCCAGATTATCAAGGGGAAATTAGACTACTACTCCACAATAGAGGAAAGAAAGAATATATGTGGAGTGCAGGAGATCCTTTAGGGCGCCTCTTAGTATTACCATGCCCTGTTATTAAAATCAATGAGAAACTATAACAACCTAATATAGGCACAATGAGAAATGGCCCAGAGCCTTCAGGAATGAAGGTATGGGTCACTCCACCAGGGAAAGAACCAAGACCTGCTGAGGTGCTTACTGACGGCCAAGGGAATACAGAATGGGTAGTGGAAGAAGGTAGTTCTAAATACCAGCTACGACCCCATGATCAGTTATAGAAAAGAGGATTGTAATTGTACTACTTCTCCCCTAATATGGTTCTAATGTAATATAATGTAGATAGGCTTACTACTGGTCCTTAAGGATTGTTAAACTGTGTTATACTGTTCAAGTTGTGAAATGATAAGAATAACCATCACCCAAGGAAAACTTACCTTTTATTTTGGTAAGGGAATTAATGCGTTTACGTTTGTACATAGGATAGTTATAACATGTTAGGCAGAATTATAAGCATATCTTTGTATCTGGAAACTGGTTTAAAGAACTGTGTCTGACTGCCAAGTTGACAAGAGGTGGAGTGTTATGGTTGATACACTGTGCCAATTTGGGGAGTCTAGAGGTTCGGCTAAGTGACTCAGCAGTTCTGCCTCTTGGGGTGAAAAGGACATGCCCTTACCCTTCTGGGATGTTGTTTATTGTGTTAATTTGAGAAGTTTAGAAGGTTAACTATGCACCTCAGAAGAGGTCCAGGGTGCTTACTTTGTATTCTTCCTGAGCCTGTGCAAGAGGCAGGCATGCAGAGGGTGTGGGTGTAGAGGATGACCCCCACCTCCCCAGAGCGGGTAGACTGCATAAAAAAAGGAATTGAGAAAGGACTGGCTGCTGGTTCTTCAGAGGAGCTCCAGTCTTCGCCTTCAGCTTGGTCGTCTCCTGGCTTCTGGTGCAGACTGTTGGGCTTCCGTCTGGACTCTTCAGCCTTCTGGTGTAGGCTCTCCAGCCTTCATCGTAGATTCTTCAGCATTCCGTCGCAGACCCATCAGCCTTTTGATACGGACTTGCACGGACACTGCAGCGAGCTCCAGGCCGGGGGCTGGGCTCTTCAATCTCCAGCGTGCAGACACCCTCTGCACGCTTCCTCACCCTACTCTGTAGCTGACCATTGTAAGCCAAACTTGTAATTCCTTGTACATGTGTTTATCTTGTATTATATCTGTTCTGCTAGTAAACCCTGACTGATACAACCTGGCACAATCAAAAGGAGAAATTAATTTTGACTGCTTGTCTGCAAGGGTTTTAGTCCATGGTCGCTTGACCCAGTCCCTCTGGACCTGTGATAAGCCAGGACATCATGAATAGGAGCATAGGGTGAAGTAAAGCCACTCACCTCCTTGTGGCTAGAAAGCAGAGAGAGATAGAGAAAAAGGTCCAAGGCCCAATATCCCCTTCATGAGCAGCCCCCCGCTCCACAACCTAACTTCTTCCAACTAGATCCCACTCCCAAAGGTTCAGCCACTTCCCAGTAGTTCATTAGGCTAATGATCAAGCCTTAGCATGGCTTTTAGGGACATTTGACTATCCAAACATAACATATGCATAG